GAGGGGGGAAGAGTGGGAGGAAGGCAGGAAGAAGGGACAGAAAGCAGGAGCGGCAAACCAAACGCACATGGGTGAAGTGGTCAAAGGCGAAGGTGGCACCGGTGGTGCTGTCGTAGAAGACGTTGTCACCCTCGACGACGTTGAAGCGCGTGACGAGGGACTGAATCCGGGAAATGGGCGGAAGAGACCCATGTCAGTGGGCACCGATGGTGGTGGGGGAGGGAGTGCGACAGAAAAAAAAAAAGGCCGAGGAGGAGGGCAAAGGGCGAACGGGGCTGAGGGCAGCTGCTACAAACCTTGGCACCAGAGGGGAGGGTGACCTGGGTCATCTGGGAGATGTTGTAGGTGGACATGGCCTGGGCAGTGGAGTTGCGCAGGTGGTTGTCATCGTTGACGAGGTGGCGCAGATCGTTGTAGACCTCATGCAGGCCACCGGGGGGAGCCTGCTGAATGAAGTCGGAGGCGATCTCCATGGTGTGGTGGGACATGATTCTGCCGGGGGAGAGGGGGCGGTGGAGGAAAGGAAGGAGGCAGTGAGAGCCGGAATAGTGGTCAGTAACCAACGGGACTCGGGTGGTCCGACAGGCAACAAGGACCAAACACGGGTCAGAGGCATATCCTCCGAAGAGAGGAAGCGGGGGCGCGGAGGGCGGAAGGGAGTGTCGGAGAGGGAACAAAGCAGCACCCCGGGAAAGCAACACCACCATGCAGCATGTTGAAGGCCACCCGGTAGCTGAGGTAGGAGGGGAGCACAGGCGATGGGGCTCTTTGGGGCAAAGACAGGAGAATGGGGGGGGGGAGGAGGAGGAATGCAAGGGGCGGCGGGAGAGGGAGGGAATGCAGGCGAAATGGGAGGAGGGGCGGGGCGGGACGGTACAATCGAGGGGCCGTGTGGGGAGGGGCGAGGGGATCAGCCAGGGGGGGAGTGGGGTGGGGGGAAAAGGACAAAGGGTGCGACGGAGAAGGAGGCACACTAAGTTCTGTAAGGCGCGCCGCCAGGGGGACGCGGCACGGGGGCGGGGCATCTCTTCAAGCTCGGCCCCGCCCTTTGGGAGGGAAGAAGACCCATAACCAAGCCTGGCTCGAAGGGGCCCCCCCCCCCCCGCCCCCCCGCCCCAGCGTCTCCCCAGCACCCTTGCTGGAGGACAAGAGGGCGGTCGTGGGGCGTTGATTCGGAGAAGGGGGAAGGAATGCACACAGCAGAGGAGAGTGCCCCCGGCGGTGGCTGCGCCCCGGTCTTTGTGCCCCAGCGGAGGAGAGCCCCGCCCGCCATTGCTGGCGCCCCCCCCCCCCCCCCGCGGGAAGGGGGGGGGCGGGGCGTCGAGAAGGGGCAGCCGGG